AAAAACTCACTGTTTTACCAGTCGCTCATTGGCCTCTTTGAGAACCTCGTTCTCTGCTTGAAGTACTGTTAGCTGCTTATTGATCAGCTCAATCTTTCCTTGGTAATGAGCGTCATCGGCTTGCTCTCGAATATTCCGCAGTTCCTCTTCAAGCTCTCGCATAGACGAATTCTTAGTCTCAAGCTGTGATCGAAGGTCATGGAGCAACTGAATCTAACGCATGAAAACTGATTTGACAAAGGTAAGAACTTGTAACTTACCCCACTGAGCCTCTCAATCTCGTACTGTAACTCGGCCACCTGGCTGTTCTTCTCTCTAACCAACCTGTTCAAACGAATATAGCTAGCTTTATCTTTTAGAGCGGCTTCGCTTATTCTAGCAGTTGTTGTTCTGAAAGTACTGCCTATTAGCAGAATATTTAGACCTAAAAGGAAAATACCGTGGTCCGTCGGCTGTTTCTGTATTCAGATCGGTTCTTTCGGTCTTTTCAGCACCTGTGGAAGCTGTTAAGGGGGCTCGTTTGGGTGGATGCGGACGGAATGTGGATCGCCCCTGAAGATCAACGTGATTGTAGCTCTATGAAGCCATTTTTTCTGCTGTGAGAAAGTGGACATGTGCGCTTCCACTGCCTTCCGTTCGAAAGGACCCATGGTCTGTGGTTTATCCTTTTCTTAGAAATACATCCTCAACACATTAATTCCCTTCGAAGCAAAAATGTTACTACAATATGAAAGACAGTTTAGAAGCTAAAATCAGAGAACATTTTGAAGAAATACATGAAAGACTTGGAAATATGAAGTGCGCTTATTCAAGGGAATGGTAAAAGAGTTCTCAGTGAGAACTGAATGTCATAGTCTCAACGATATCAGCGTGCATCTTCCTCCATCATTCAACTACGGTATTAGTTTTTATACTGGCAATCTCTCTTATATACTGCTAAGGGCTATTTTCGGATAAATGAGTGAATTGGCCACTCTCACACCGTGAGCGTTCCATATTTGAGTACATGTCGCTAAAGTTATTAGTGTATTAAAAAAACCTTGAGCTTTCAAAAAAATCTTGAGTTGTCCTAGAACGAGTTGGAATCACTGGTTTCCCAAAGAGTTTAAAAGCCTTCGCAGAGATTGCCATGGCGCTGGCCTAACATATAATTGAAAATCGTTATCGGTACTGTAAAATTTAGATAACAAAGTCTGATCTTAGCAAGTCACGAAATCGCCGTCGGGGGGGCAATGACATC